TTTTTTTTTTTTTTTTTTTTTTTTTTTTTTTTTTTTTTTTTTTTTTTTTTTTTTTTTTTTTTGTAAAAAAAAAAGTTAAAATACTTTAATAAACTTTATTTGTTTATGACTCCGTTTCTATCGAAGATCTTTGTCGATGATACGTCTTAATCAATAAAAATAAGTAATAATCAAGATAGCCACGGGCTAAATTTGAGATATATAAAGAATTAAAAAATAAATAATCTTCGAAATCAATCAAAGAGACTATGATACTACAATTAAACTCGCCTCCAAAAACCTACATTTTTTTTAATAAAAATAATTATGTCCCTTCAACTTAACTTAAAATTTATCACATTTTTTTTTAATTTTCTAACTCTCGTGGAATTTTTAAGATGTACTTTTTATAAGAAAATAGAGGTGTTCGAAATAACCGATGACCTGAAGAATCTAATCAATCCAATCAAGGTAGTACCGTTTGAGTTATTATAATAAAAATATTTATCTACCCATTAACATTTTTTTAACATAAAAGGTATCTTCATCCCCGTTCCCGCTACCTGTTTTATAAGATTCTACTGAAAAGATAGAGATTCAAATTCCTATCTCCGTTTCTACTACCTATTTCATAAGATTTCACGTAAAACGTAGATATTCAAATTTGAATTTTTTGTATATGCTCCCTATTTCATCAGATTTAACGTAAAAGGTAGAGATTTGAATCTCTATTCCTGTCTCGCTACCTGTTTCATAAGATTCTATAGAAAGAGATTCGAATTCACATCGTTTCGCTACCTATGGCTTAAGATTCTACATAAACAATAGAAATACGAATTTTTTTGTCTCCACCCTCTATTAGATTTCCTAAGATTTCACATAAAAGTTAAAAGATTCGAATCAATCTAGTTTCATACCATATAATATAGTCCATACATACACACAACAATCAATTAATGGCTATCACCGACCATGAATTCCTCTAATGGCCAAGAATTTCCCTCTCTTCTCCCTTTCAACGACACCCACATAATCCAATCAAAATTTAATCAGTCCCTTTTCATTTTTCAACACAAATTAACACGAAACAGATAATCAATCACTTAAACGAAGAACACATCAAGAACAGAAAAGAAGGAAAAGAAAAAACTGATCCACTACCTAATATACATCTGTTCTTCCTTTTATACACTTACTTTAAGCGGTAGCCGCCATTTTTACAGTCCCCCAAGCTTGGACATGGTCTGGTTTAATTAGCAGATGGCGCAGGCATTCGGATTCTCCTCTATGCTCTGCGCGTAATAATGAGTTGTAAGATAAGGATTGTAAGCTCTGTAAGCTCTCACCAGTTCCAAAACGGCGTCGTTTGGATTCGGATTCTTCTTTTCTTCTCCTTCTTTCTTCTCTTCTCCTTCTTTCTTCTCTTCTTCCTTCTTCGCTTCTCCTTTCTTCTCTTCTTCCTTCTTCCCCTCTTCCTTCTTTCCTTCTTCCTTTTTCGGCTCGTCCTTCTTCGGCTCCACCGCCGGTCCTACGGAGATTAAGTCCGCCGGCCAAAACTTCCTCAGTTTGCTCACGATCGTCACCGGATCCACCGCTCCGATCACTGTAAGCTTCTTTTCTTTCATATCCATCGCAATAGAATCGATTCCTGTTCGATAATTTAAAAAACGCCAGATGAATATACCGATTCAAAAACAGAGCAGATTCGAAGTTAGAACACGAAATTTTTGGAGATTTGGCTCGGCGTCTGACCTGAGAGTGTGGAGACCAATTTCAAGGCCTTTTTCTTGGCTTTATCGTCCGGTAAATCCAGTTTCAGAACGACCTTCTGCAAGAGAGAAACAGAGCAAATGTTAAGAGGAAAGAACAGAGAGCAGAAGAACGGCAAATTAGGAACTAGGAAACAAACCTTCATTGATGAGAATTTGAGTTTTCCGTTTTTGGGCAGAAATGGCGGAAGAAGAGGGGAAGAGGAGAGAGAATAGAGTGTAAATTTTGTGAAGGAATTGCCTAATGAGGTACGGCTATATAGTCCATCCATTCGGTTTTCAGTGGCACAGCATTGAACATGCCCAGTACCTTTCAAAACAAACCTACTACCACCACTCGCGCGTCAATACCACGCGCAGCCATTAAATCCTCTCGGTCGTAATATCCTCGTACTAATGGTTGGATGTAGATTCGAAAATTTGTATGCTCCTTGAACATTATTGGATATGAGCTTGAATTTTGTCGTTTTTTGTTTCATACGTAAGTTCATCTCGGAGTTTTTATATGACTCTATAACCCGACTAACTCAAACTACCTAAAAATTATAAAGCCTTGGATTGGTTCAAGTCAGCTCTCGAGTTGACATTTCTTTGTCCAGTCAATTCAATCAACCAAAAAATAGATTTACTATCCAACTTTAAGATTATTATAAAAAATAATAATATTTAACTTTTTAACTTACGTAAGTGATCGATTTGTAAAGGTTTAATATTTATAATTTTTTTTATGAGATTTTATTTACATAAATAAGATTTTTTTAAAATAATTTTAAGAAAACATCAACCCGACAACCAAAAATAATAATAGATAAACTATCATTTATAAGATTCCATATGAATGTACAAAAGACTTAAAACCATAGATGTTCGGTTGGGTTAGGTCACATAACATCTTCTTAGTCGAGTTAACCTTATCGACTCAAAAATAGAGTTACAATCTAATTCTACCTTTTAAATTATTATGGAGATTAAAAAATTTTGATGTTTGGACGGTGAATTGTAATTTGTAAATATTTAATATTTAAATTTCATGAAATTTTATTTATTAATAGAGGAATAGATAAATATAATTTTTTAAATAATTAATTAATCTATTTTCAAAATGAAACTAAAATTTAAAAAGTAGTTAAAATATTTTTTTGGAATTTAAATATTTTATAAGAAAAATATGCAAAATTTTTAAATAATACTTTATATTATAATTATATCCCTTAATTACATAAACCACGTGGAAATAGGTAACCGCCGTTACCGGTGGCGCGTGACAAACACGTTTTATCGCTGACGTGGCTCTAACAGAGCGGTGCGGGCCCCACGTCACTAACACATCGTCAACAAGTACCATCGGACCGTCCAAAAGGCATAAAAAATCAGCTGCAACGGGTTCTACGTTTATCGCCAAATATTTACTTGTCATCTGCCACGTGGCAGTTTTATGCATGGCGAATCATCTACGGCCACTGGTTTGCCCGATGTGTTGTCATGCCAAAAAGGAGCTCAAAAGTTGGGATTTGATTTAAAATATTGTTTTATTTTCAAAAATCAATAATTGCAAAATTGCGTACTCCAAATTTTGTCTATTTTTGCAAATTTTATATTATTTTATTTTTAAGATAACGTTAGTTACCTATATCATTTGCAAACATACCACCTCAAAATTTAAATTTTAAAAATAAATAAATAAATAAAATTATTTAAAATAAAATAAAAATGCACTGGTTGGTATAGATAGTGCGACCTGTAATTATTTTAAAAAAATTAATTATCTTATTTTCAGGATCGCTGTAATTCAAATATGGTTTTGGTTGATTCATGTACCCTTCTTTTACTCGAGCATCACAAAAAATAATATGTTTTAAATAATAAATTTAAGGACTAAAATCAAACATTAATTAAAAATTAAAATTTTAAAAATAAGTGGTACGTGTCATCTTTCAATAAAAATATTTGTAATTCGATAATTGAGTAATTGGTTTTCATTTTAAATAATAATAATTTAAAAAATAATAAATTTCATTAAGAAGTAGTTGGAGGCTATGATAATGCATAGGTAATTAAACCAAACTTTCTAATGGATGACATTCATTCATATTCATTTTTTAATATAAATTTTTAAATATTATATGAAAAATAGACACGACGATAATTAAGATACTTATTTGGATTTAAATTTGAGACACAGACAAACATGTCGACTTTTCGTCTCACGGCAATTTTGAAACGTTAATATATATATAAAATAATTGAAGTGTTTTTTTAAATAAATAATAAAATTAGTTTTTTTTTGTTTAAATAATCATATTTTAAAGTTAAATTAGAAACAATTATTAAAACAAGTATATCTTCATTAATAAAATAATGACATTATGATGATATACACTAGTTGAATTTTTTAATAATATATGTTTTATATTTTTTTTAATACTCAAATATACATTCGAAACTGATTTAAAATTTTAAAGACCCATCAAAATTAAAATTATAATTTTGGAGACCAAATAAAAATAAAATTAATATATTTAAAAATGACCACTCGTATGTCTTCTACCTCCACAAGATCGATCGTACATCTCTTTATTAGAGTGTATTAGTTGATAGTATACTAAAAAAGTTAAGTTGTGGAGAGAAGCATCTATGATTTGGTTTTCGAGAAATTTTCAAACAACTCTCTCGAAAAAGTGTGTTGGTTGTCGTAGTAGTTTTGAATTTTTCGTATTTGTTAATAATAGCAAGAGAACAAGTCTTGATTTGACAACTCATTAGATGGGTCGGGTGGTGATGGCAACAGTAGCCCTGCCCTCGTCCCCACACTCAAGGCTAACAGTTGAACTCGCTCTCTTGCTACGTCTTTTATCCACTCGATTGACTCATGGGTTGGGTGGTGATGGTAGTAGTAGCCCTGTCTTGTCCCCACACTTAAGGCTAATAGTTGAACTCGCTCTCTTGCCACGTTTTTTACTCACTCGATTGAGTCATGGGTCGGGTGGTGATGGTAAGTCGTAGCCCTACCTCGTTCCCACCCTCGAGGCTAACAGTCGAACTCACTCTCTTGATACGCGTTTTCAAAGATAATAAATAAAATAGAAGCAAGATAAAAAATTGTATATCGAGAAGAAAGGAAGGACGGACGGAAGGAATGAATGGACCTAGAAATAAAACGGGCCTTGAAAGTTGGGCCGGGTTTGGGCCCATCTACAAGTGGCATAGTGCACGTATAAAGCAGAGGGGGGAGTTCTTGCCATTGGAACGACGTGTGTCTCGGAAGTCTGCGCCTGTCTACGACATATCTGCAAGCAGACAGGTCAGCCTTGAAGCTTCATCACTGTTTCATTATAATAACCTTACAATTCTTGATGATTTCTCTCATTTCCTTAATCTCCATGAAAAATTCATGCCAGTTCCCTCAAAACCCCCAGTTTCCATGCAGTTTCCCTTTTCAAAACCCTAATTTTCGTCCCCAATTTATTGTTTACGGACTCCTCACCGGTGTTTTCTTCCTATGATTCTCAATATATGATGAAAACTGCTTCCATTGCGTTGTTCTTTCTCATTTTCTTCCAGAATTCGAGGATCTGATGGACTTCCAAGATAAAGATTCGTCCATGGCGGTTTCCAGGACCTCGAATTCGGATATCAATGGCCCTTCCTTAAGCCATTCTGCTTGGTTGGAGGTTCGCCTCTTCTACGTTCGGATTTCTCCCTGTGTGATTGATAGCGTTCCTGATCATCTTAATCTGCGGCACCTTCGTCGCGAAATTGGTGTTTCCCTTGAAATTAATGGTTCTCAAATTCCGGCCTCTGATTCCGTTTCTATCGCCCTCCGTCGTGATCGGCTCAGCATGGAAACATCGGAGGTTACATACGTTAGTACGGACAGTATTCGGGTTACCGGCGGTGTGGAGTTCGAGGTGTATGAGAATGAGGATTTGATTCTCTGTGGGTCTTTGGAACGAATGGAGGCCAATTGGGTTAATGGGAGCATTGGATTGGAGAACAATTCGAAGACAGGTTGGACTATGGACTGTTTTATGGCTGCGTCCATGTGTTCGGGTTCGTCGGCCTTCTTCCGGCCTAAACTTGGGGTTTCTTCGCCGGCAATTGAGGTTTATATCGCCGGTTGTTGCTCCGGTATGCCTGTGATCTTGACGAAGACGATTCTGGTCAGTCCAAGGCGGAAGAACCAGAGGCAGGGTGTCCTGGATGCAATTCCGGAGGATGAAGAAGTTGGGAAGGAGGAGAATGGAACTAATGGATTGATCCAGCACCAAAAAGTGCAGGTAAAATGTTGTTCATATATTTCCTTACGCAATTCTCGGTATGTGAGGTGAGCTCAGGAATTTTTTATTCAAACGTATAATATAGCTTGTTGATCAAGAGCAACTGAATTCTCCCCTTTAAAACTTTGGATTCGTAAGAATTGCAGATGCTATACATAGGCTTGTCGAACAAAGCTAGTATAGAGATGGCATATTGGCATGTTTACCTCAGGATCCCACACCCTTACATCCTTGGAGACTTGACACACTTTAGGCCAACTCGATAGATTGCAATGTTTTAAATTATTAAGCTTTATGCATGGGCTTGCATCCAGGATGATAGTGGTTTTCTTGTCTCTTAAGTCTAGGTATTGAATTTCAACATTCCATAGAGTTGGGTGATATTTTGATGTTAGGTTAACTTAATAACAATACCACTCAACTTTGTCTCAAAAATATTTCTTAACTTTTAAAAGTTTGAATAATACCCTTAAACTTTCAAAAGAGTTAAAAAATGCTCTTATGGTTGGTTTTGAATGGAAATCTTGACTTTTAAAAGTGTTTCAAAAATGCCCTTGAATTTTCAAAATTTCATAAATATAAACTTTTAAGCTTTTTTTATAAAAGTTAAAAAATACTCTTACCACGTATATGGATGAAACCTGCTTATCTATGTTCTATAGATCATCTTCCTCTTCGATTCAATCTATAACTCAACAATTTCTCATTTTTTTTCTTGCCTCTTAATTTTATTCTTTTGTTCTTCAATCTCTAATTTTTTTCCCCATTTCTCTCTCTTTTTTCTCTTATTAAATATCAAAACTCTAAATAGAAAGAAGAACTCTCTCATTTCATTTTCAAACATAAACCTAAGAAACTTCAATACCCAAATAGCTAATTTCTTTAAAGTTGTTTTGAGTTGAGAAAAAGCCAACTTGAAAACAAATTGTCTATTTGGGTGTTGAAATTTATTATATTCATGTCGAGAAATGCTCATAAACGAGAGTCTCTCCTTTTTATTTAGGTTTTTCATATTTA